CGGTGGCCCCCGTCTGGCCGGGACCCGGGTTCCCAAGGCTACCCCGGGGCTTCCAGAGCCCCGAGGTGGCGTGCAGCGATTGCGACTGTGGGGCCGGTGTCGGCGCTGGCCCGGCAGGTAGCCCGGGCCTTGTCCCCACCCCAGGCGTCCGTCCTTGCCGGCGTTTCGCCTACCCCCGCCGCAGCCCGCGGCCCCGGCCTGAGCCCGGAGGCCTCTGCAGTCTGCGCGGCGGGAGGTGGGCAATCCTGCTTTTACCGTCTTGGTCCTCACTTGTGAAGCCAGCGGTGGTCCCGGCCCAAGGTCATGGAGTAATTCTGGTTGGAAATGGGGGTCTGGGCACAGTTGAAATGGGTGTCCTGGGGGCCGGAGTGAAGTTAATAGCGAAACAGCGATGTAAATAGAAGGGAATTGGGCCCTCATTTTTGGCCACTATTGGTAGTATTATTTCTACAATGGAGATTTATTTTACTTCGGCAGGAAGGGACAGCAAGTCCCCAAATTAGAAGCCTTCTCCCTCACCCTTGCCCGAAATGATGCGTTCAGTAAACCTGTCTCTAAAAGTATTTTCCAGGGGATGGGCCATGGGGGGGCGGGGAGGAGAGGGAAGGAATTAAAGCATTCAGGAAAGCATTCAGGTTTGAGAAGTCCTATGAACTGTGTTTTCTTTAGTCTTACACGAAATGGGTTCTTTCTACGGGAAGTTAAAGCAACACAGAGTATTTAAGTATTACAAAATGCCATCTCAGTAAAAAGCCTTTGTGCAGAACAGAAAATGCTTCTTAGTGGAGTAAGATATGGGTTCTCCCTCGATACCAAACATTAATTTTTCTGGAAAACATTCAATTTGGAGTGAACTGTATTATTTATATATGTCCGGCCTCTTTTCTGATGAGCTCCTTAGCTTCTGTTTTATACAGAGCATACCACCAATGAAACAATAGTTTTTCAACTGGAAAAACTGAAAAATTCTCACCACTGGGCCAGCAGATGGCATGGTTTGGGGAGGGGCGGTTGAAGGTGGTTTGAATCCAGCTTGAAGGATACACCAGGCTTGAGTACCTGTGTGCCTGAAATCTCAAGGGGAGAAATGGATGATAGACTGTGGTGTGGTTGTCTCCCATGGAGAGTAATTTCTTACTTTCTCTCCCTCCTAGGAGCACAGGCACCCATTAGCAAATTTAAAACAAAAAAACAAAAAACCCTTACTCTCTTGATGCCAGTGGATTAGACAGAGTAGGCTGGGAAGTGCTTTAAAAGTGTTAATTTGGAAGGTGCAAATCCAGGCCCTGAACTTGTAAGGAAATGCAAAAAAGCTAGGATTGTAATAGAGCCACTTCTTTTTTTTTTTTTTTTTTTTGAGAGGTTTTTGCTATAGGGCACGTGTGCTCGCCAGACAGACAGAGACATAGAGACAGAAAGCGAGAAATCACCCCCCAGGGTGGGGTGGCCACGCCGTAATCCCTTCTCCATTCTCCTCTCAGGATCTTGGGCACGCACACACACGCACCTGGCATGAGTTTAAGCCAATGGGTCCGGGACTCGAACCGTGGTTGACTACGTGGGAGTCCAGCGACATAGCCATTACGCTAACTGCTGGTCCCTCTTTATTTTTTTTTTTTTAAAGAGAGATTTTTGCTATAGGTCATGTGTGCGAGACAGAGACAGAAAGCAAGAAATCACCCTCCCAGTGGAGGAGGGCCACATTGCAATCCCTTCTACTTTGTTCTCCTCTCAGGATTTTTGGGTGTGCATGCACATGTGCCCAGCATGAGTTTTAAGCCGCTGGGTCCAGGACTTGAGTTGCGTTTAACCATGTGGGAGTCCAGAGACATAACTATTATGCCATTTGCTGGTCCCTGAATCTGGGTTTTCTATATGGCTCCTAGAGTCCTATTGCTTTCCCACTAGCTGGACCATATTTTTTTCATCCCCTCCTTTTTTTTTAAAGTTGCCATAGGGAATGTGCACCTATCAGAGAGGGACAGAGAAAGAAAGAGAAATATGGGGTGTGGATGCACTGCAAACCCTCCTCCTCCATGGGACATCCAGGCATGCGTGTATGCTGGATTACAACTTTGGGGTCCAGCATTCTTTGTTTCTCTCTCATAATAGAACTAAATTAATGAAGAGAAAAGTTTAGGGCTTTGGCATAGTGGGTAGGGTGGCTTGATTCCATGTGGATGACTTTGTGTTTCGAGTCCTTGACTTGGTGGTCTGAGAAACATGCTGGGCACTTGTGCATCTCTATCTAAAATCCTGAAAGGAGGGAAAGAAGGAGAAAAAGAGATTGTGGGTGATAAGGGGTGCTTTCTCCTTTCCTTTGTATCTCTTTGGCAAGCATATGTTTCCTCTAGCAAAAAAATAAAAGGAAAAGAAAATAAAGAATCATTTATTTATTCTTTTTAAAATTTTATTTATTTATTTATTTTTTAAATTTGACTAGAGAGAGACACACAGAGAGAGGGGGAAAGTAAGAAAGCATGCTACCAGGTCCAGGACTTGAACTGCAGTTGACCATGTGGGAGTGTCCAGTGCCTTAACCACCACGTCATCTGCTAGTCTGCTATTCTTTTTGTTAAAAAGAGTTATTTAATTTTATTAATCATTACTATTACTATTTTCAAAATTTGACCAGAGAGAAATAGAGAAAGTGAGAAAGCAAGCTACTAGGCCTGGGATTCGAACTACTGTAGGCCACATGGGAGCTCAGCACCTTAACCACCACACCACCTGGCAGCCCTGAAGTAGAAATTTAAGGATTAGTTGCATTCTGGATTCTGAAACTGTACTCATGTACTATTTGAACTCTGTTGCATTAAAATTAATTTGTCCGTTTTATACTTTTTATTTATGTTTTTAGGTTTTGCCACAGGACACATGTGCTTGCCAGAGAGAGAGAAAGGGAAAGTGAGAGATTACCGTCCCCTGCCTGCCCCCAAGGGATGGCCACTACACAATCCCTTCTCCATTCTCAGGACCTTGGGCACGCACGCACACATGCCTGGTGTGATCCTCAAGCTGCCAGGTCTGGGATTCAAACGTAGTTGGCCATGTGGGAATCCATTGCCTTAACCACCACACCACCTGCTGGTTCTTATTTTTTTGTGTTTAAATTACCAGAGGGTACCTGTACTTACTTGTGAGAGAGGAAGAGAACAACCTACAATGGAGTATGGTCATGCCACAATCTTTTTTCCTCCATTTTTCTGTCCTGTTAGTATTCTGATTATGTATGCATACTTGTGTTCTATGTATTTTTCAAGCTGCCAGGGTCAGGATTTGAACAGCTGTCAGCCACATGGAATCTTGCACCTAATGCACAGTACTTAACCATTGCACTATAGGGCTGGTCCCTGTTTTGTATATTCTTTTAGTTTTCTATAGGACCCTTGTACCCTTTGGAGAGAGACAGAGAGTTAGAGAGAGAGGGTAAGTGAGAAATCACCCCCTGGGGGGTTGGCCACACCACTGTCCTTTTTCCTCCATTTCTCCATCCTGTTGGAACTTGTAGCATGAACACACACACGCCTGGCGTAGTCTTCAAGCCACTGGGGCCAAGATGCAAACTGGCCACATGAGATCCGGCTCCCATAATCACTAGGCTCTGCAGCCAGCTCACTGGAAGGCTGTAGGGGTGTTCTGCAATATGACAAGACCTTGTCAAGGAAGCCTATTTCTTCTCTTTCTCTTAAAATAAAATACATTTTAAAAAGTAAATAATTTGGGGGCCAGAGGTGACATGGTGGTTAAGGCATTGTACTCCCAAATGACTGACTATGGTTCAAGTTCTAGAACTGGCAGCTTGAAAATCATACTAGGTGTGTGTGTGCATGTGCCTAAAATCCTGAGGAGAGAACGGAGGAGAAAGGATTGCAGTGTGGCCATACCCCCTGGGGGGCTGGGAGGTGATTTCTTGCTTTCTTTCTCTCTTTTTGCCAAGCACATGAGCCCTATAACAAAAATCTCTCAAAAAAAAAAAAAAATTGCCAGGCACATGTGCTTGCATGCCCAAAATCTTAGGGGAAGAACGAAGGACAAGGGATTGCAGGGAAGTCATCCTCTTTTGGGAATGATCACTCATTTTCCCTCTCAATGTCTCTCTCTCTCTGTTTGTCTCCGGCAAGTGCATGTGCTCTATGGCAAAAACCAAAAACCAAAACAAAACAAAACAAAAACAACAACAACAAAAACTTTGTAAGGTAGAAGTTAAGGTGTCATATATAGATGTGCACAGCATATAGATAATACATTGAATATACTGAAAATATACTGAAAGAATACTGAAACATTGACATTGATCATTTCTGGGTAGATAAAAGATAGATGAAAGGTATGCAAAGAATGAAGGAGTACCTTCATATTTTACTTTTTATGCTTTTACCATTGTTTGAACCTTTCACATAAAAAATGAATAAACCTTATTGTGAAATATCTTTTTTGGGAGGGGGGTTACCATATAGTCCATTATCATATACTTTTAGAGAAAAGGAGATAATTTGGAGAACCAGTTTTTTAAAAAGAATTATTTAGGGACCAGCAGTTGGTGTAATGGTTATGTTGCTGGACTCCCAGGTAGTTGACTGCTGTTCGAGTCCCAGACCCAGTGGCTTAAAGTCACGTC